CAGAGAAGGAAGACCAGCCCAGGCTGAGAAGAAAGGAGGTGCGGTAGTCCCGTATGAAGCAAAGCCAGAGGCGCCAGGGAAGCTAGAGAAGGAAGACCAGCCCAGGCTGAGAAGAAAGGAGGTGCGGTAGTCCCGTGATTTGGGGTCAACTTGGGACTATCAGGAGCGAAGGGATGGAGTTTAGCCTGTGCATCAGGTCACAGCTGGATGACCTCATTTGGAGGCGCGATGGAGATAAATAACTCGCTGGAGGCCAGACACCGGCTCTCTCTGCTACACGTTTCTGTTGACAAGCCACATGGAGCTACGCTGATGGCAACCAGAGCTTTGGAGCGGGAGGAGCCACGTGGAGACCCATGCCAGCACCGAGATGTTTCCACTGCCACTGGATCCCCAAGACTTTCCACCCACTGGCCTGTGATCTTCCTGCACTTGGTGTGCCATTGCATGCGTTGTGTGAGTCTAAAGAGGAATTTACAGACTGGTATTGGACAAATGGGCTAATATCGGACTTAAGGACTTGATCTAGACTGGGCTGAGATGTTTTCTTAATGTACAGTTGCTCTTTGATATAAAGTTCTCTGACACACATACACGTGTCACTGGATTTGTTTCTCTAGTCAACCCGGTCTAACGCAGGATTCCAGGAAAGGCTCTGGGGAAGTCAGACGCCAGCAGAGCCTGCACACGTGAGGGAGAGAGGCTGGCCCCCCAAGGCTTTCCTCCTGCACGCTTTCCACAAGGTTCTGGACACAAGGCTCCCCAGGCTGCCCACGGTGGACTTCAGGTAGAGCCCAGGGGCTCTGATGTGCAGCGCCCTCCTCTTTAGGCCGCTTTCAAGCAGGCTGCAGCATCCACGGCCGTTTCCTCCCTCACAGCCATGGGCTCCCCAAGTCCTCACACCGCAGTGCTTGAGCATGGCCAGGATATTCTCCGTCTGCGGGAGCACTGAGCTGTCCACTGAGGTCCAAGCCCGTAACCACCTGTGAACGCCCCACGTCTACTTGATCAGAACGCACACCCCTTTCAGGCACAGCTCGCAATGCGCTGCTGTACTGAACACGCGAGGCCTGGAATTCAAGTCCCCTCCCTCATTTATGGGCCCGTTTCCGAGAAGCCTCCTGGGGCCTTTTCCCTTGAATGGGTCCCAGTGGCCCGTGAGAAGGGCCGCCTTCTCCTCTCGTTCCTCCTCTTCTAGGGTCCAGCCTACACCGTTGTCCAGGAAACAGCCATCACTGATCCTTCAGCTGTCTCTACCTGCTTGGTGCTAACGGGCTACCACCAGAAGCTCCCCCCAACACAGCACTACTCAAGGCCTTGCACTCCTGACTCCCCGGTCAGACTCCCCACCTGACGTCTTTCCCGCCCCCTCTCCCTCCCGGGGTACACCTGGGAGCAAGGTGCATGGTGGAAACGGCCCAGATGACAGGCTCTACTCACCTCCTTCTGGATTTCGCTTTTGAGGGCGGAGATCTTCATTTTCATGTCCTCCAGCTCATGGTCTGGGAAGGGGTGCACCTGGGGGCTGGCCTCAGACTCCTCAGGGGACGGGAACACCAGGTCAGCCAGGGGGATGTACCATTTGCAGTCATATTGCTGATGCTTCCTGTGAGAGAGAAGAGCACGGCCCACCTGAGTCCCTAGAACCGGGCTCGCCAAGCCTGCGCGCCAGGCTTGAAGTCACCTGTCACAGGCCTGTGTCCTTGAAGAGCCCACTGGGGAACAAACACGGGGAAGTCATGGTAACCAACCGCAATGCCAGATCATCGAGAGCTACATCGCGTGGGAGCAGTTGGCATTCCGAGAAACATCAGCTCTGCGGCCTGAAGATGTCCTAAACCGGAACATCTAGCAGGGCCTAGGGTCAGCCACGGCCCTTGGCCTCGCCACGCTCCTGACCCAGGACAACTCTTGTCTTTAAACATCCTGAGTCACTTGGGCACCCGCAAGAGGGAAGACTTCTTGGCCAGGCTCACTCTTTCCTATTCCCCATCCTATACCCCTTGCGTTCCTTCTAGCCTATCCGTGCTTAGCTCACATCCATCAACTTTGATCAACAGAGGTCACATGGAAGTACTGTACTGGGGAGGGGTGTGCGTTAAGGATTATAAAGCTGTATCCAGTGCTAGCAGGAAAGCGTGCTGTAGTTGATTAGTAATGTCTGCCCTGGGCGAAGAACTGAAGGCAGGAATGTGTGTGCTTAGTATCGCCATCTCTGCTTTACACCTATCTGAAATCTCATCTCGTTCCAGGGAGTCCTCTCTATCGGAAGTCACGATATTCCTTCTCTGACTTCCCGCAGGACTGGGGTTTGTATCTGCCAACTTGACTCCTTAGCGTGTCACAGAACACATGGCTTGCCTCCCCCTAGCCTGTAAGACAGTGTACTTGGCACACGGCAGGAGATGAGTTGATGTAAACAGAAGAACAGGTGAGTAAATGGTGAAGAACCTTTTCTGCTCGTGGTACAAAGTGAGCTCATGGCGCTGAGTATAGAAATGACTTTCTGGTGAGGCAAACCCCGCTGTAGAGTCGCTTCCAACTCTAAAGGACAGAGAGCTCTGCAGATTCTCTCAGACTGTAAATCTTTAAGGGAGCGGAGAGCCTCATCTTTCTCTCACGGAGTAGCTGGTGGATTTGAACCGCCAGCCTTGTGGTTAGTAATCCAGTGCTTCACACACCACGCCACCCTGGCTCCAAGTAGGATTTGGATCTCATCTCCCCCACTTCTAGGTCTTGGGGAACACATTCAAGTTCTCCAAGGCTTTTCCCTCATCTGTCAGATGGGGACAGGAACACCTGTTTTGTGGGATTCCGAGGAGGCTCAGAGGGGATGTAGCACAAACCATTTGTCATGGACCTGGCCTGGGAGCAGGTGCTCAATAAAGGTAGTAGTGGGCTTGACGGATGGTTGTGGCATCACGGCTGGCTGGCAAGAATGGAGCGAGGTCTAATCGAAGGAGTGTTTCCCTGAATGGCGGCATCTGCACTTGCGAGGTCACGCAGCAAAAAGGATGATCAGGAAGATGAAGCTTCAACCAGGGGGAGCAAAAGTTTGCCCCGCGCCATGGGAAACACAGAGCCCCAGAGCAGTGTTCCCTCCGGTTCCCGCTCCGCGAGAAAGCGCCAGAAGGTCCCTACCAGGACAGGGGAGAAAGACAGCAGCAGAAGGCCGGCTGCCAGGGGGCTGCCCGATGTGGGTGTGCTGGGGTTATAGTTCCCAACGCGGTTTAGGCGAGGAAAAGGCGAGGGTGGTGATGGAAATTCCATGCAGCTGACCCGAGACAGTGCTTTACCTCGCTGCTGAGGGGTTAGCCAAGTGGCAAGCCCCGCCCCCACTCACCCGGCGGACGTCTTCTTCAGCTTGGCACACAGGAGGACGTCTGTGAAGAGGAAGACGTGCCGCAGCTTCCGGGAGCTCTCCGACACCTCCACCAGGAAGCCATCCTTCACCAGCTGCCGTGTCTGCGGGAGATGCACACCCACGCCCGGCTGCTCAGAGGGGAGGGTGGTCGGGGAGCCCATCCAGTTGGGGGGCAGGGGACGGGCCGTGCCACCTGCTGGTGGAGAGCACGGCTTCTTTCTGAGTCCCACGGACCTGGGGTGTGAGCTCAGGGCTTGGCCACTTGTCAGCCGAGTTCTCGGGCAAGTTCTCTGACCTCTGTGTCTCGGAGGGGCGCCATCTGCCTCACAAGGTGGGCTGCTCCCCACAATGTGGCCTCTGGCGGGCACTTGGTGTAGCACGCGGGAGAAACGGCAGCTTTGCTTTACACACTGCCGCAGTGCCCACCAGATGGACCTGCTGCATCCAGGACTGCTGGTTCCTCCCTGTGAGCCTCCTGGGGTGTGTGTGTATGTGAGGGGAGGGGCTCCCAGCTGAGTCAGAGAAAGCGATCTAGTTTCAACTCAGTCTGAGCCCTGCAGTCACCACCACTCGGGGCTGCCTGTGCCACACAGGGTGGGTCCTCTGCTCAGCGGGGAACACAGCGCTGCCGCAGCGGACCGCAGGTGGTCAGGAGCAGCTGCCTCCTGGGACCTCTCTGCCCCTGAGCCTGTGGGCTTCTCTCCAGCTGCCGCAGTCTTGCCCCACCGTCTCTGCATGCATCCGATACCCTATGCGTGGCTGCGTGCATCGTGGCCCGGCGTGGCCTCCCGTGCTGCGGCACAACCCTGAGCATCGACCGGATGCTGCGGAGCCGCCCAGGAAGCACAGGTGTGCTCTGAGCCCCTGTCGTTTTCCGCTCTCCCTCATAGTGAAGTGCGAGTGGCATTGCAGGGAGAGGCAAACCGGGGCTGAGATTACACGACGTGTGGTGACAGCTCTCGATGCCCCATTAGCCACGTTCCGGGCCTCTCTTCCCTCATTACTTCCCTGCCCTGACACCGGAGCCTGTAACCGAGCCGCACCAGGCCGGTCAGCCTTCACTCCTAAGTGCCGGTTCATTACCTCCATTGTATCCGGGCCAGGCTGCTGACCCTCCCTAACCTATCCCTCGGATTTTTCAAATTGCTTCCTCTGCCCTGAGCTGCCAGCCACCGGGTCACCAAGCAGCCCCCAGGGAATGAGACAGAGGGCCCTGGCCACCTCTAGTCCCAGCCTTTCCTGCTGACCAGCCAGTTCTCCAGCTCCTGCTCAGGGGATCTGCACTGGAGCAGCTTAAAGGCAGCCCCTCCCGGTTCAGACAGCACCAATATCTTCCAGGGATCCGGACCATGCTAGCCAGAGAGTGAAGCCCCCAGGGCTCCCAGCCCCCGTGATGTGGCGGGCAATGCTTGGAAGCCCTCTGCAAGGCAGGGACAGCCTCTGGCTGCTGGGTGACTGGAAGTGGGGGCCGTGAATGGCAGTGTGAGGGAGAGAGGGATCGGGGGACTGACCCCTGCCACCCCTCAAGTCCTGGACCCCACCCACGCGCGCGCACCTCGCCCTTAGGGGTGGTGACGGCAGTCCGGCGGGGGTCGATGTCCTCGTTGATGCTGGACAGGAAGTTCTGGGAGATGCGGAGGGCATCCTGGAGCAGCGGGTAGTCTGGGTGGTCTGCAGGCGTGTGTTTCAGCAGGTCCTGGGGAGGGGTGGGTGGTAAGCGGTGGGGACAGACCGGGGGTTCAGGGAGAAGACAATGGGCCGGGTGGGGGTAGGGGAGAGCACTGGGTCAACTAAGACTCAACCCTCACTGAAGGACCACCTAGGGGGCACTTAGGGACCCACACTCTAAGCTGGTTGTGCTGGAATGAAGCAAGCCTGAGAGCCAGGTCCCGTGGGGGTTGGGGGGCCCGGTGGAGCCTCATCTCACCAAGCAGCTGGGGAGAGCCTCCCTGATCTCACCCCACAGCTGCTCCTTCAAGGCCAGCAGAAACCACGCGGCAGGAGCTGGGGAGGCAGGAAAGGCCAGCCTCTGAGGAAGCATTTGGCCAAATGTCAAGCTTGGTAGTCAAGCTAAATTTAGGCCCTGATCCGGTTGGCATGGTTACAGTAAATCAGGCACACACAGCCAGGGACCCTCTGCTCAGCAGTTCCCCTCCTGAGCTCGGTCTCCCCCTCGACTCCTAAGCCCACCCTGGCTGTGGGGGGCTTGGCACTCACATGCAGGACCAGGGTGCTCCTGGTCACTCGGTCGATGGGCTTGTAGAGCAGAGCTGTCGGGGAAAGCAGAGGAGGGGACAGTGGATGAAACACAGGGGCAGTGGCAGGCCTCAGAGGCCATCTCTGTCCCCCCTCTGCCTTGCTCTTCCATTTGCACGAAGCCCAAGGGGTTCCCACCCTTGGGGACCCATCGCAGGACAGACCAGACAGCAGGGAGCAGACACTGAAACAGCCCTGGCACCTCCCTGCCCCTGCCTCCTCCTCTCATCCCCCTCTAGGGTGGCCCCGGGCTTACAGCAGGTGCAGGGGTGCCCTTACACCAGCCATCTCCTGCAGGGTGCCAGCAGGGGCAGGGCCACAGGCTGGACTCCAGAATGGGGAGGGTCCAGACAGCTTCCCCAGCCTGACCCTACACCCATCCCCCATCCTATCTCAGGGAGCCCGGCACACCTGATGTGCTCAGCTCCGTGGGCAGGCCCCCTCTATTTTCCCAACCTCTATTGGCCAGATCCCCACAGAAAGAGTACTCTCAAGTAAGGGCTGGCCTAAGGGGAGAAGATTTCCTAAAGAAAAGAGGCAAGGCCTCTCCTGTGATTGCTGATGCAGCTGGGAGATACAGCTCCCCTCCCCACCCTTCTGTGATCTCCGAAGCCGGACACCAGGTGAGGGTGGTTGGTATTCAGCAGGGACAGGTGGAGGCAGCAGCTGACAGACCAACACTTCCCAAAATGATCCTCTGATACAGCAGCTGGGCCCTGCCCCTCCCCACATAGTGGCTCAGCCTCAGTCCTGCACCTGGACGCTTCTTGGCACGGAGTCATGATCTCTGGTCTCCTCCCCCAGAAGACCCTGGAGTGGGGGTCCCACAGGACCAGGTTGTGACAGGTGCCCAGAGCCAACATGCATGTCCCCAAGCCAGAGGCCCCAAAGCCATGGCTATAAATAACCTGTGTGACCAACCTGCTGGCCCCAGAGAAGATGTGACCATCTGGCCCTAGATCAGCATTTCTCAATCTGTGGGTCGCGGCCCTTTTGGGGTGCAGTGGGGGGAGGTGTTGAACGACCCTTTCACAGGGGTCACCCGATTCATAACAGTAGCAAAATGACAGTGATGAAGTAGCAACGAAAATAATTTTATGGTTGGGGGGGTCACCACCACATGAGGAACTATATTAAAGGGTCGTGGTATTAAGAAGGTTGAGAACCACTGCCCTAGATGCACTTGGATGCCTATTAGATTCACGGGGGTGGGGGTGGGGCTAGGGGAGGTAGGGGGGGTAGCTCGGAAAAGACAATCCGCCTGCTCCTCCCCCATCCCATCCACCAATCCCCAAGTCTCTGGGTGGTGGGGGACCAGAGCTGGTTCTGATGTATAAATCTCCCTGCCATCCAGTTGATTCTGACTCCGGGAGGCCCTACACAGGCACAGAGAACTGCCCTGGGGGGTTCCGGCAGCCTTATGGGATTAGGAAGCCTCCCCTTTCTTTCTCCCATGGACCTGGTTGTTGGAACTGCTGATCTCTCGTTCAGCAGCCCGACCCGCACAGGTGTATGCAAACACGCTTCCTGTGCCATGACTCCCAGTCCTTTCTTACTGGGCGGTTTCTAAAGCCTCTCCCCCTGGGCAGGGAATCCTGCTGGCATTGGGGTTAAGTATTGGGTTGCTAACTGGAAGGTCAGTGGTTCAAACCCACCAGCTGCACCCAGAGAGACAAACAATGCAGTTCACTCCAGGACCATCTCACCTTAGAGACTCTGTGGAGCAGGTCTACCCTGCCCAGTAGGGCTGCTCTGATGGCTGGGCATTTGATCCTGATGGGCTACGGAGACTCATACGAGGAGGTGGCAGGACTAGGGTCACCTGGGACAGTGAGGGTGGAGCCCAGCTACCTACCAGCCAGGAAAGGACTCATTCTTGAGGTTGTTTCTGGGCCTACCTGTGGCTCAGCCTATCTTGGAGCGGGGTGAGGAAACCCACCCAGAGAACCACAGAGACCTGAGAGGCAAGGGCCAGGTCAGCAGACGTTTGCAGGCAGGCTTGGGCCCCAGCCCCAGTCAGCCAGCCCAGGAGGACAGCTTCTGATTAATCTGAGCCTGCACAAATGGTTGACATGGTTGCAGGGGTCATTAATATGCTCGCAGTTGTCCCCGGCGTCCACCTGCCTGGCCCGGGACTCTGTCCTGCAGTCTGGTGGGGTGGGAGGACAGCCAGGGGGAGGCTAAGGGCCCAGTCACATACATGAGAAACCAGGGGCTGAAGATAGCCCATTGAAGGCACTCTTATGACCCCTGCTCAAAGTCAGGGTCAAGAACCCCCACCCCAAGAACCCCTGCTTCCAGCCTCTCCCTCCTCTTCTTCCTGATCCTTACCATACCATTTCCGCCATGCCCGGAACACCCATTACTCTCTGAACCAGTGGTTCTCAATTTTCCTAATGCTGCGACCCTTTCATACAGTTCATGTTGTGGTGACCCCCCCCCCCCACCGCCCCCAACCATTAGATTATTTTCGTTGCTACTTCATCGCTGTCATTTTGTTACTGTCACAAATCGTCATGTAAATCATGTGTTTTCTGATGGTCTTAGGTGACCCCTGTGAAAGGGTCGTTCAATTCCCAAAGGGGTCTTGACCCATAGGTTAAGAACCGCTGCTCTGAACTCTCTCCTTCCTTGAGGGAGTCCCTGACCAGGGCCTTTGCAAATGGAACCTCCCCTCCCCCTACAAGTTAGACTACAGAGAGCGCAAGCTGGCCTCTCCTTGGTACCCAGTGGCGCTGTTAATGGCCTTGCATGCACTATCTACTTGGGCTGAAAAAGGAGGCAATAATGACCTACAGCCCCATTTTACAGGTGAGCAAACTGAGGCCCAGAGCAGCCATCGTGTCACTGGTTCACAATCACAGTGGTGGCCCCTCCTGCAAATGCTCTGTGAACCTCAGGTAAAAGAGGAGGTCACAGCTGCGAGGGGGTCCTACCTTCCTGGTGAGGGTCCCCCCCACCCCCACCCCCACCGCAGACTTGGCATGGCGCCACCTACAGATGGGTGTTCAGTAAGTGCTGGCGACACTGGCCCGGCCAGAGTGAGCTCCAGGTGGCCCAGTCACTGTGGGAACCCCAGGCCCGACACCCCTGACTGAGAAGACCCCAGTTGCTTCAGGCCAGCAGGGAGCATTCCCTCCACATCCCTATTCAGGAGCTGACTACAAAGGCCCACACTGCACTAGGTCTCAGACATGTTTCACTAAGGCCCCAGGGTCCTCTGCGGGGAGAGAAGAGGAAGTAGAGCACGCCCCGCGTTTCCTTTTTAGGAAGACATCCTGAGACTTGGCTGACTTCTAGGGCAAACGAGCATTTCCCCCTGAACGTCCTGTGCCACTCCTCCTGACCCGAGCTGGTAGATTCTGGGCAGGGGTCAGATTCAGTACCTGCTGGCCTGAAACTCATGTCCCACCACTGTCCTGCTGGGCAGCAGAGAAGGACAGGGCAGGAGGGTGGCCTCTGGGGCTATCTCGCTCATGAGGGGTCCTGACACAGGGGGTGGCCTTGTACCCAGTCCCTCCAGCACTGTGATGGCCAAGCCTCCTGAAGCCTGCCCCTCTCTCATCCTGCCTTCCCAGGGAAGCTCTGGGTTACCACGGAGACATGGAGGGAAAGACTGAGAAGGGTACAGAGGCGTAGGCATGATGGCTGGTGGGATGGAAGAGGGCGGCTTAGAACCAGTCACCTGCCACTCCACTCCACTCCACGGGAGCTCAGGGCAGCTGGTGGGCCAGAAATTCCTGCCTGCACCCCCTGCTGCCCTGCCAGCCATAGCCTGGGTCACCCCTAAGGCTTTCTTTGCCTCACAGCTCCTAGGTAGCACCTAGCCAGGTAGGTGAAGCTCCAGTCAGTAACGGCGCCATACCAGCACCGACCGCCCTGGAAGCCCCAGCGGAGGGGCAGCAAGGAGAGTGCCCACGCTGGGGTGGGTGTGACCTTCACCACGCCGCAGCCGGCCACACCCCCTTCTCCCACGGAAGGGCATCCACTGTCGGCCTTCCAGCTAAGTGCCAAGCCTTCCCCTTCTGCAGCAGGCAACTCGGGGGTCTCCACGACGCGAAACACACGCACCCCCCCACCCCCTCACCCCGAGCAGCCCCAGCCACATTCGTGTTCTCCCCCTGTGCCGACCCAGGCGGACGGGAGGGGAGAGGGCCCAGGCAGCGCGTGCACGCTGCCCACCATACCCTAACCGCGCCACCTTCTTCTCTCTCGGGGAACAAAGAGACCCCCAACTTCTCCCGGCAGCTCGGGCTGCCACACACCCGGCCAACACACTGATTTGCCGCTCTCCACACCATCCAGAACTCTCCACCTGGACACACACACACACTGACCCGTTAGTTGCCCAGAGACCCTCGGGGGTCCCTGGCTCTTCCTAGCCCGGCCTTCCTTCCATTGAAAAACCACGCCCAACTCTCTCTTCCAGGTTGCCCCCCAAACCTGGCCAGCCAGCGCGTGCGGGGAGGCGGGACACGCCCCGCGGCGGGCGCGGAGGGGTCGGGGTTACCGTAGGTGCAGTTACAGCAGAATCGGACGATGAGGAGCATCTCCATGGCCGCCTGCGTCCCCGCGCCGCGAGCGCAAGGCCATCGCTTCGGGCTCCCCGGCGCCCACCAGCCGCCGCCGAGCCACCTTGCCAGCTGCTGCACAGCCTCCAGAATCAAGCCCCGCCGCTTCCCAGGGCTCCTCCAGCGAGGGGGAGGGGCGGGGAGCGCGTGGCGCGGTGGGGGAGGGGGAGGCGCGGCAGCGGAGCGAGGAGCCTGCTGGCATCCTTCGGATGAGCACGTTTGTAGCTGGCCGGCTGCCTGGGGACACGGGAGGCTGGATTCCTCTCGTACACACAGGCACACACACCCATGCACTTAACACACGCGCCAGCAGGGAGGGAGGGCACTGCGTTCACACACTCAGTCCACAGAGCCAGACAAAGGAAGAGGACTGGTACCTTCCATGGTGACCGACGTGTGACTGTCCTTGGAATCCTTGGGGCCTTTCACTTTGAGCTCCTGCCGGAGGGAACAAGAGGTATCAGCACCCGACCGCTCTGTGCCCTGCCGTGAGCTGGCCGGAGGGACTCTGAAAGCCAGCCTGAGGCAGAGGATGGGAGTGGACGTGGGGCTCTAGCTGTGCCCACCACCCATGTCCTCCCGGTGCCTCCCTGGTTCCAGAGTCACAACAGGTTGTTAGGACTGTGAAAACCGGGGTGGGAGTGTGCCTCAGATCCATCCCCTACAGTCCCTCCCACAAACACTGAGGGAGGGGTTCCAGAGAAAGCCCCGGGGCAAAAGCAGGTCTCTACTTCCTCGCCCCAGCAGCCCACAAGGGACCCCTGAGTAGTGTGGTCCTGCCTGCCTGGGCATGGGGCCCTGACTGCACAGCTCAGGGCAGTCCAAGCCACATCTGTCCTGATCCGGGATCCGGGGCCACCCTGTGTGTTAAGAGCAGAACGGGTCCTTGGCGGGGTTTTCTGGGCTGGAATCTTTATGGAAGCAGAACGGGAGGCCTTTCTTCCACAGCACTGCCAACAGTGGGTTTCTTTAGGTGAGGGGTTGAGGGCAGGCCATTTGGGACACCCAAGGACACCCCGGACCTTGAAGAGGCAGTCACCCAGCCTCCAGTTCACTCGACACTCTCCCCACCCACCACCGGGGCCTGTGCAAGGAGAATGGCCCCCCATTCCTCTGACAGGGCAGGAGCCCGGGACAGGGTGGCGGGTTAAGCAGCGGCTGCTGCGGCTTCAGGGAGGGCTTATGCGATCCACACCAACTCTCTGATGGGGAAGAGTGACTGGGCCCAGCTCAGGTGTCTGTAACACTATCCCTGCTGGGTGGCTCAGTGCTCAGGGCCTGGAATGGGGGTGGCAGCAGTTAACCAGAGGGCAAGGTGAGGACAAGGTCAGGGACCAGGTGAGGCTGCTCACTCTGCCTGGAAGGCAGGAAATGCTCAGACAGCATCAGGAGGCCATACTTGGCTCCTACCTCTTGTTTCTAAGACTGAGAAAATCCCACGGGCCGGGAAGCATGGGCCCGTGTGTGCTGTGTGTGTGTGCATGCGTGTGCGGAGGGAGGGGGTGCACTTGGCTTCTCCAGGCTGTGTTCCTGCTGCCTGGCACCCGGACCCCCAGCTCAGGGAGTCTTTCTGCATGCCCTCCCTCCAGTGCGGCCTAGAGAAATGAAATCACTCCCTGCAGAGGAGAAGGGCCTAATTGCAGTAATTAAGTGGCAGTGCCAGCAGGAAGCGACAGCGTCAGCATGTGAGTCAGGGTGAGAAGCCACCTGGCAGGCGGCCACGGCCAGCAGGGCTCTGTCCTTGCGAGGGGCTGCTGGGGACGGCTGCAGGGGCTTCTCCCCAGGATTAGGGAACTAGGAAGCAGGTCAGAGCCTCCGGGGGTGGGAGCTGGGAGTGCCAGCCAGTCCTCCAGCCTTCGGAGCCCATGAAGAGGGACTCCTGTCTGTCCTCGAGAGCAGGTGGGTGGGTCTCTCAGGACCCATGGGTCAGTAGCCATCTGAGTTTACCCTGTGCCCTTCGCCTGCCTTAGAGGGGCAGGTGCCTGCACCACCGAGAGGCCTGCCTGTGGTCACCTGTCCCCACTGGAAATGGAATAGCCAAAGCCCCATAGGTGCCCCAGTCTGAATTTTATAGGACCTGCCAGCCTCGCCTTCCTTCCTCAGAAGGGCTGCGGGGCTGGAACCACCAACCCCTTGATTAGCAGCCCGATGCTTAACCCACAGCCCCAGCAGGGTTCCTTGGAAAGGCCCCTTCTGGAGAGGAAATGTGCACAGGTCCAGTGTGGCCCCAGGTGCAACTACACATTCCCCTCCCAGGAACAAGCCCGGTGTGCTGATCTCCATCTGTGTAACTCCTGTGTTGCCTTCCGGTTGGTTCCAAACCTGGGCACCACCTGTGATGTCAGTAGTTTCAGGAAAATGACCCTGCCTCTCACTGACTTTCCTGGCATCAGGGCTGAGGCGGGGAAAGCCCAGGACCAGTAGGGACCCCTGCGGCAGGACTGGAAAAACCACAGGAATAGTATTGCCTCCCCCTGCCCCCCGAGCCCCCTACTCCAATCCAGCCTCATTCAGAAGTTCAAACCAGTGGCTAAGGGGTGCCCCTGGAAATAGACTTAGGGCAATGGTCCCCTCTATGTCGCTGCAGCCACAGGACTGGCCCCCAGAGAAGCACCGAGAGGTGCCCTGGCCCCGCCTCTTCCCCTTGCTTGTGGGGTTGCAGGACCCTAGAACAAGGGTCTTAAAAGGACTACCTCCATCCAGACTTCCTCAAATGTCCCTGATCTTTAGAGAACCCTGTTCATCAGCAGCACATGGCTGACATCCAGATTTCTGGGCCCCGCCTAACAGCCTTCTAAATCAGAAGCTGCAGGGAAGGGGCCTGGGAACCTGCATGTTAAACCCGGGCCCCTGGGGACTCTTACCAAGCACGTCTGGGGTGCCTTGACCAGACACTGAATGCTTCGGAAGAGGAAGCAAAGGCCCAGGGCAAGAAAGCGACTTGCTCAAGGTCACCATGGTGTGGGAGAATACCACTTTGTACTTTGTCTTCCCTGTTCCTCTTTTTAAACTGGAATAGACATTTTTTAAAAAGGGCAAACCAATCAATATTCTTACATTAAAAGAGAAAATGTCGGGTGTAGAAAGCAAATGTCAGGCTGAGTGCTACCCTTCAGGGAAGCCTGTTCTGAGCTGGCAGCTGTGGGGCCGAGCGGCCCAGCCCCTGAGGGCTCGGAGAGCACTGGACATGGGGGCCGCCCACCTCTGAGATCTTCTGGAACTGGTTGTTGGACTGGCTGCACTTCTCGGCTGTCTCCAGAGCGACTTTATAGTTATCCACAAACGCTTTGTACACGCCAAGCTGGCTGGCCTGCGGGAGAAGAGACGGGTGGGGAGAGGGGATTGATGAATGGATGAAAGCTTAACCAGAGCACCGGGCGCTCCCTGAGCACTCCGAACCTCCAACACTGCTCCTAGGAGCGAGCTGGCAAGAAGGGGGTTAGGCAGAGATGTGCATATTACAGGATCCCTTTGAACTTGGCAGTTTCCATGGCAACGGGCTCAGCCAATAAGGTTAACAAGGGGGTAGTGTGTGTGTGTGTGTGTGTGTGTGTGTGTAGGGGTGTGTGGCAGTAGGGGGCCTTTGTCACCCGCTAGAGAGTCAGCTCCTCACAGTGCTTGGTTTTTATTTAGCATCTTCAAGGTCTCACGGGGTTTGAAGTCCCTTAGTGCCTCACACTCCCTCCACATCCTGAAATCAGCTGGACTGAGAAGAGATGGAGAGGCAGGGACCGCACTGGAAGGCCCAGTCCCCACCTCCATGGGGCCAGGCTCTGGGTCCCGGCAGATCCTACCATCCTTTTCTGCACAGGGGGAGATGAGGCTAGTTAAGCTAATTCCTCCAACCGATGGAAAGCCCTGCTCAGGACTGGGCGACAGCATCTCCTCTCATCCTCTCATCCGAGGAAAGGGTGGAAATGCAAATGAAAACCACCATGAGAGGCCACGGTGCCATCAGCCAGGCCAGAAGGTCTTAACTGTAACCATTCCAAGGGTCAGCGAACACGCAGGCCCCCATGAGCCCTGGTCATTGGAGAGCGACCGGCATTAACAAGGCTGACCACCACCCACCTGCCAGCCTGTTGTGCTGTGGTAGTTTGTGCGTGGCTGTGACCGATGTCACTGACATTTCAAACACCAGCTGGATTACCCCATGGAAGGGCTTTCAGCAGAGCTTCTAGGCAAAGACAGATGGGACAGCTTGGTCCTCCGGCCCATTGACACCTTGTCGGTCACAACAGAACACGGTCTGAGTAGCTTACACTTTGGTCATGTCATTAAAAGCCAAACCGAACCGCTGTGTTGATTCTGACTTGTGGCCACTTCAAAGGACAGGATAGAATGGCCCCATAGTGTTGCCACCGCTGCATATCTTTACAGTGGTATGTGGCCAGCTCTTTCTCCCGCGGAGCAGCCCGTGGGTTTGAACTGGCAACCTTCTGGTTAGCAGCCAAGCACTGACGTACTATGCTACCAGCACTCCTCAGGGAACTGGATTGACACCGTAGCCATAGTGACGGGCTTGAACAGGCTGGTGACTGCATGGATAACGTAGGGCCAGGCAATGTCTCTTGACTGCTGTACATAAGATTGCCCACAGTCAGACTCCACTCCACGGCAGTCACTGACATTGAGTCCACACTGGCTCACCACAGCTCAACAGGACAGTGCAGAACTGCCCCTGTGAGTTTCCAAGACTGTAACTCTGTAAGGGAGGAGGAGAAAGCCCTGTCTTTCTCTCTTGGAGCGGCTGGAGGTCTTGAACTGCTAACCTTGAGGATCGCAGCCCGATGCATAACCCTAACACAACCAGGGCCCCCTGTTGCAAATATGCACAGCCTATTGCTTGGCAAATCCACTTCCTTATACCAACCACTGGCTCAGATGTGGCTACTGAATACGTGAAAGATTAAGTGGTCTAAATTAAGGTCTGCTGTGGTCCTGTGGGGTTGGCTGCTAAATGCCTGGTTGGCAGTTCAAACCTACCAGCCACTGAGCAGAAGAAAGATGAGGCTCTCAGCTCCGTAAAGATTTACAGCCTTGGAAACCCTGTGTATGTTTTGACTAACTCAGAATCAACCTGATGGCAGTGAATTTGTTTCTGTTTTTTCTACCTGCGAAATACAAACTGTATTTCAAAGGCTTAGTCTAAAAAAGGAAAGTATTACAGATCATTTATAATTTTAAAAATATTGGTTAGCCATTAAAATGACCCTATCTTGGATCTACTGGGCTAAATAACATGTACTCAAATTAATTTCACCTGTTTAGTTTTACAGTTTTTCAAAGCATGAGGCTACTAAGCACATTGACAACCCCAGCTGTGGTGCCCTGTCCAAATGTGGGTTGTGCTGTGCTACAGACGGACGGCTCCCGAGGGCCCGAGGAGACGCGTCCTTCCCAGGCTCACCCGCAGGAAGCCCACAGAGCGCACTGCAGTCAAGATGTGCATGGAGCAACACCAGCCAGTTTCAAAACAAATGTTGAATGCAAAAGATGTAAGCTATGACACCTGTGTACACGTCCGTGCATTGTCAAAGTACATGCAATGCCCTAAGGAGACACAGCACGCAGTAAAAGGCCAGCTGCAGTCCAGCAGCACACGCCCAGCTGATGCCAGTGGCCGCTCCTCGGGGGAATGCTGGGGCAGGGAGAGTCCACCTTCCTCTGCCAGGTGTCTTTCCTTGATTAAGGAAGGTTTTGCAACCTACTTTCTGAGCTTTCACAGACAGACTCCCGCCATCGAGTCGTTTCTGACTCACGGTGACCCTGTGGGGCAGAGCAGAACTCCCCCTGCGGATTTCTGTAAAACGTCATGGGAGGAGAAAGCCTCATCTTTCTCCCAAGGAGTGGCTGGTGGTTTGGAACTGCTGACCTTTTGGTTGGCAGCCCAACTTATAACCCGCGATGCCACCAGCTTAGCCCCTGTGAGTTCTGAGCAGATAGTCTTCGCTAGATTCCCAGGTGTGACCAGCCTCCCCCAGGGAAGCATCCAGGGAGTTGAGCTGCTGTGATTGGTTGCTTCTCGCCCATAGGCTGGGAAGGTGGGCTGTGCTTATTAGCCCCATCCCCAGACCCCTCCTCAAGCGGCTGAATCCTCATGGGGAGTCTTCAAGGAGCCCAATGGACTGCAGGGGGCTAGAGGGTGACTACAGACCTGGCTGGGCCTAGAGTCACTTCTCACAGGACAGCGGGCAGGCGCAGGTAGGGCCCAAGGAAGTCAGGAAGGAAGCTGCTTGGGGAGAAGCCAAGAGCAGAGGGTACAGGTCTCTAGGGTCCAGGGGTGTGGGGGGTGTTAAGACTTTCCAAAACGAAAATCTTGGGAGGGGGCCGAGAGGGGTGGGGCTTATTTCCTCTTCCAGGAGGAGCAGAGGAGCACTGGGACCCCCAGCTCCCGGAGACGTGCAAGAGAATTGCTTTTTAAACCAGTGAAAACCGCGAGTCTTCTTTTGCCAAGAAAGCCCTCTCCCTGCCCTTCACCCTTTGGGGAAGGATAAAGCTGGGTGCCCACGTAGGGACACCACCCAGCCAGCCAGCCCTGCCCTGCTGAAGGGAGCAGCAGCAGGTGAGCCAGGTGCAGGGCCACCTGGGCCAGCCCAGCTGCTGCCATCTTGGCGGTGCACCCAGGGTGGCAGAGCCCCACGCCCAGTGCAGCCTGCCTCGCTCATCAGCTGGGGAACTGGAGGTTGCTTGGCGACAGTGGCTTGCAACTGGGGTGATCTCATAAGACAAGTAGCAGAGATGCCAATTTCCCTTCGCTCGGAAATGAATAATCAAATCGCTGGAGACTTCAGCTGAAACTAAGCTGCCGGACTCCACCCAGTCTCACCCTGGCCTCCCGGGCCTGCAGCCCTGAGCGCCTCCCACATCAGGCCGGAGGCTGGTGGAGCTGGGGCCACGTGAGGAAGGTGCACTGGGATGGGCAGCATGCCCTGTAGGCCCTCCCTGCCTCCCACAGGCTCAGGGTGCCTGACACAGGGCTAGGCGGGATGACTGGGGGCCACCATCTCTGACCTAGGGACCAAAACAAGGTGCCCCTCCCTCAACCCAACAGCCACGTCAACACGAGCAGTAACGATGACGGCGTTAAACACCCCAGAGCACTCACTGTGGGCTGTGTCGGGCCGTCTGAGTCACACCGAGCATTATGATAGCAATGAAGGCTGGGAATGCGAATATTGATCCTAAGTGGGAAATGGAGTAACACCCTCTGTCTTACAGGTGAGGGGCCCGAGCAGCGAGAAGGGAGGTGAGGTGAGTTTGTGAAAAGGCCTGACTGGACCTGCGGAGACTGGTTCCAGAAGGTGGGCTCGTCCCTGCCGTGCTGCTGGTGTGATTGGGGTGGGGGCGGGGGGCAGGGCACAGGCCTCAAGCTGTCTGGTGACTCCCTCTGTGGCCTGTCCCCAAAGGCCATTCGGTTACTCACATACTGAGCAGTGGGCTGGCCCTGGAAGGTCTGATGCTGGAGGAGGAACACCAGCTGTTGAGATGAAGGAAAAGCAGGCGACTGCTTTTGAGGGGCTGGGGAAGGCTTCTTAGAGGGCATCGCGTCTACCGAGAGCTGGCCCGCAGCAGCAGCCAGACCAGGCAGCCAAGGGCATGGAGGATACCGCCACAAGCACAGGACGGGCAGCAGGTGCCCGGAGTGCGAGCCGTGAACAGAAAGCTCAGTGTTGGGGCCACAGGGGCAGGGAGGCAGCAGCCAGCTGGACAGAGACCAGGGTGTGAAGGAAGGGGCTCGTGAGCTACTATCTGGCGCCTGGAGGTTAACCCCTGGCATGGCTCGGGGAGCCACTGCCACAGGGCAGAAGCAAGGTCTGATGGGTGGCTTGGACAGTGCTCTCGGTGGCGGGGTGAGGCTTGGAGGTGGGATGGGAAGCAGACTGGCAGGCAGGAACCTCCAGGAGGTGATGGCGATGGTCCAGGGGAGGGCCAGCAGAGGGGGTAGCGAGAGGACATCAGAGAAGTGACCGCCCCAGATGTGAGAGGGGAAGGTGCTAAGGATGAGCCCAAGTCTCCAGGCTGGGAGGTGGTCGGATTCAGTGTAGTGGGAAGCTCAGGTTTGACCTCCTCATTCCTTTTCAATCCCCTGCAATAAGGGCGGGGCAGGGGGGCAGTTTTTAGTGCTTTCTGTTAAGAGAGGATCATTGGCTGATGAGGGCTCCAGTCCCACCACCTGGTTTCCTAGAGGGCACCTGGGGTCTCAGGTGAAAAGTACCTCCCTCCCTCCCATGCCCTTCTCACTGCTGAAAGTCTCACTCTCCCCTCACCGCCATCAAGTAGATTCTGATGCACACAGGGACCCCGTAGGACAGGGTAGAACAGGCCCTGTGGGTTTCTGAGGCTGCAACTCTTTCCGGGAGGAGAAAGCCTCATCTTGCTCTAGAGGAGTGGCTGGTGGTTTCGAACTGCTGACCTTGTGGTTAGCAGCCCAACACGTAACCCCTATACCACCAGGGCCCCTAGCTGAGGGTCCATAGCGGCACCCCCAGTGGGAGAGAACCGATGCTCTCCCGGAGCACCTGGCTCAGCATCCCAGTCAAGGCACCAGGTCCAGGCTTTCCTGCAGGGTGGAGAAATAGCCCAAGCCTCCACGGGGACCAGGGCACAAGAGGCGAGGCGCTGACCAGTCCCCTTCCAACACCGGCAGCTCGGCCGAGGCTCTGGATGAAGACCATCTGGCAGCAGGAGACTCACCAGCTTCTGGAAGAGGTGACCCATGGTGACCTGGCTGTCCCACTGCTGCACCTTGGGGCAAAGGTTGTCGTAGAACTCCTTGTGGATCTCATAGATGTCTTGGATCTTGTAGAAGATGGTTTCGATCTGCTGGATGGTGAGCACAGGCTGGGAGGTGGTGGCCGTGGCCTTCAGGGGTTTCATGGGCTACAGGAGGGAGAGGAAGGAGGAGCAGAGATGAGGGTGGGTACGTGGCCAAGTGTCAACAGGCCCAGGGCAGACTGTGGTACTTCTTGGCCCAACCTGCAGCTGGAGTCCTGCCTACACAAGGCTGCCCGCCTTCAGGGCAGGGCGCCGGCAGCGTGTTTGTGGCAGGTGGCTGCCGTGGGGCAGCAGACCCTCAGAAGCCACACTGCACAGCACGGCCCATGGAGTAGAGCCAGGCACACTCGGTCCCTGGGCCCACCGCACCAAGCCGGGACTGCCCCGAGCTTCCTTGTGGCACTGCAGTGGAAATGGATGGCTGAGCGGGAATTCAAGCCCTTAGCCAATTCCTTCTTCGACTCTCAAAAGGACCAAGCCAGTCTCGGCATCACTGATATTCCATGTTCCTATCGCTTAACACAGGGCGAGGAAGCCGGCGGCGGCGAACATGCCGCCCTTCCCTCTCTGGCACCTGTGCCAGACAGCAGTCAGCAATCACGACACTCTTTTCCACCGAGCCTAGATGGAATCCCAGCCTCTTCCTCAATGTTGGGCCCTGCTTAACTACTGTGTGTGGCAGTAACTCAGGAGTTGCCTCCCTCCCACCCACACTGGTTGGAAGTTGAAGCCCTTAACACCGGACAGTTAGGACTATAGGGTAATGAGTTAGGGGTGCATCAACGTTAGCATACTTTTCTAATTTGTCAAAATGAGTCATTATTAAGTTTGATAGAAAAAAAATGCCTTTGAAAATTCACAGCTGAAACAAACAAGCTGATACTGCTATGATTTAGACGTTCCTCCTCGGTTGACCCAAAAGTCCCACAGAGGCTCCCCCTCCCACCTGCCTCCCCCAACCCCCATACACTACGTTCCAGAGGTTCTGGAAAGCTGCCACGAAGAGAAGGTATGAGAGGGGAGAGCAGGTTTACGTGGAAGAGAGAGATGCAGCTACGATGATGGTCTCCGTCCAGCGGAAGGGCAGTGTGGAAAGAGGCCTTAGACTGAGTCCGGGTTGCTCTGAAGACTCCAGAGAGAGGAGAAGTCACGGTGAGGGGCCAGCTGTGGGCTCATTAGAATGCTCTATCTGTGTTCTCTGGGGATTAGGAGCCAGCTTGAGGACAAGAGAACCACTCCAGCAGAGGACGGACACCTGGCCCACTGGAGGGAAGAGCTACAGTGAGGGAGACCAACGGGGTTGCTGGCTCCTTCTGGAGGGTCAGCACCAGCTCCACTCAGCCGCAGCAGCCTAGCTCCCAGCCACACCTGCCCCATCCTCCCGCCTGCTGCTTCACTCCGATGGGAACAGAGCTCAAGTGTGCCTGCCCAAAGTCCCGTCTTTCAAATGCCCAATGGTCTGACTCCTGGGTCTCGCGGTCTCCGAGTTCTACAAGTACAGACCCCTGACGGACACCAGCAAGAACAGAGCCTCCGTTTCACCCTCTCGGCACTGGAACCACCTGATGCTCAGCGTCCAGTCTTTGCTGGGAACGTTAAGATGGGGCAGGCCAGGCAGCATGGATCTGAATCCCAAACTTGGTCTCTTAATAACTGTGGGCAAGTCACTTCCATGGCTAATTTTTTGTTTGTAAAGCTGGAATATTACCCTTTCCTGAGATGGCCAAAAGCCACAGTTTAGATAAAAACAGCTAGTATGTGCCTGGCAACAGACAGTGCCACGCTTCTTACGCTCTTGCCGAACGTGAGGCCAGATGGGCGATGAGCAAAGCACACATCACCCCTGCCCTAACGGAGCTTCTTGTCTGCTAGGGGCTCCCGGGCTTGGGGAAGAGAGAGAATTAGCAGCACAAGTAAACGAAGGAGCACAGAAGGACAGAGGGGTTTGTGCAGGGAAGGACATGGAGAGCGGAGCTCCTCCTGGGACCGGGTCATGAAGGAGTGCTTCTCCAAAGGGGGACACGTGTGTGTCTTGGAGTGGGACCATGGGAGAATTCCAGGCAGACCTCCTCGGGGCCTGCCCTTGTGGTGGGAAGGGGCTCAAGGAAGGGGGTGGAAGGAAAGCAGTGTGTGTGTATGTGTGCGCGGTGAGGTGGAGAAATGGGGCGTGGGGTAGAAAGTGTTGGGGGTATTAATGGGGCAGAAGGCAAAGCTGCCTGTGTGAGCGGCGGCCAGATCACATCCTGGCTTGAAGATCAGGGAGAAGAGCCGTTTTGAAGGCACGACGGAGAAGGAAGGCTCTAGACGGGTGTCAGCAGCGACGGGATCCAATGTCCTTTTCAGGAGATGGTGTTTGGGTTTTTCTGTCTCTGCCCTTGAGAACGGGATCATCTCCTTGGTATAACAGACCAATTCAAGGGAGACCAAGGAGTGGACCATACCAGAGGCTATAGAGTCGATTCTGACTCACGGTGACCGAATGTGTTGTGGAAAGGACAATGCCAGAGAGGACATTTCCCAACGCGGACCGTCAATCCTCACCGATGATCTCAAGGTTGTGCTGGCCCAGTGAGAGGGCTTCTCAGAGGGGACAGGAACGAGGTCTCACAGGAAGGTGGGGGAATCTGAGCAGGAGGAAGGCTGAGGCCGGGGCAGGCAGACCAGCCAGGGGGCACACCAGCAGGAAGAAGGCAGAGGAACCCCAGGTGAGTGTCCAGCTCCAGCTCCATGGCTCCCAACCCCCCTTGAAAGATACCAAGATCTCAGCCGCAGGATCGGCATCCAAAGGTGGAGTCTTTTCACCTCTTCCCAGGATCCAACTGGGTGGGTGGAGGGTGGGAGAGTCACCAGGGTGCCCAAGAACCAGCAACCCTTGTCCCCACTGAGGAAGACATACAGGGAATTTGGAAGGGAGAATCCAGGGGAGGGAAAGGGGACAGAACTTCTCCAAAGCTGCTGGGGAAGGGAGACACGACACGGCTTTCTCCACCTGTCCGTCTGCAAATGGGGAAGACGGGTCTCTGAGCAGAGAGAGGCAGGTCACATGAGTGGCCAGCTCAGAGGCAACAGATGGTTCTCAGGATCCCAGCCAGGAACCTTTGCTCCAGAGCCTGACTTCACCTGGGGCAAGGAGAAAGGCTGGCTGTGTGTCCTTGGCTGGCGGGGAGCACGGAAGTCATTTGTTCTTATCAGGAGAGGCCCAGCGCACAGGCCTGGGGTGGGGGGCGGCGAGGGACAGATGGAAGGCAAAAGTAACCCAACCCTCATCCGCAGTTACCTCATGCACAGTCGCACTGCAGAGGGCACGGGTGACCCGTCTCTCGGCCTCATCAGGGGAGAAGAGGACGCTTAGGAAGGATCCCCGGTGACTTGGGCGTCCCCTGTCCCCCCCCCACCCCCCACCCCCCGGGAGCCCCCACCGCCCCAGCCTCTTCAGAAACCGAGGAGAGACGTTTGCCCACTGCTTCCACCCCCTCCCTGGAGAAGCCGGAAGCTGCCAGGGTGTTTCTGAACGGAGGGTAGTAGCTTCAGAGTTTGTGAGAACATGGAATTAAAAGACAACGGAACTTGCTCATAAGCGGTGTGAACCTCCCCCTGGGGAAGTCAGCAAACCCAGGGAGGGGGGGGGGCGATGAGCAAGACCAAACCCAAACCCAACCCACCGCCATGGAGTCCACGCTGACTCAGTGACCCTCAGCTGTAGGACAGGGTAGAACTGCCCTGAGACAGCAAAGCCGCCTCTTCCTCCCCACAGCAGGAAGGCACCCTTATAACCTGAGGAACCTAAGATTCAGGGCGACTCCAAACCCCAAAGCCATCACCCAGCTGGACTGAGAGCAAGAAGGGCCACCCGTGGGCCACAGCTTTACAACGCCTCTGCCCCTGAGCCCGGGCGGTGTGGAGGGAGACATGCATTTCTTTGTCTCTCTTCCTGTCTCAGCTCTGGGTGTCTCCATTTGTAATCGGAACCCATCAGTCACCTACCAAGAAGGTTCCAGAAGATTATCAAACCAGGAACCCTGGGGGCAGAACAGAGGCTCCCTCCTGTCAGTGCCTGTGTGTACACAGTCTTGGGTACACACCCCCAGGCGTCTGCCTATCAGGAAGTGTCAGGCTGAGAACAGAAGAGAAGGCCTTGGGAGGGTGGGAGCGGGAAGCAAACAGAGCAGGGCTCCTCCTCTGAGCCTGGCCCTTTGTCACAGGACCCCATGGGCAGAGACTTGGCTCGCTGGCAGCCAAGCTGGGCCTGGAGGGCCCCCCCACCTCAAGGAAGAGGGGCGCGGCCTTCAGACTCTATCTTGAGATTGGCTAAGTCTGTGGGGGGGAGGGTCCAGCCCCCTCTTCCTGAGCCTCCAGCCACAGATCTGACCACCGGGGCTGAGCCCTCCCCACTCTGTAAAGACCCACCCAGGGGCCCAGGAAGAGCCAGTAGGGGGAGGAGTGAGGCCTGCCCAGGCACCTGAGCAGAGGGGGAGCCTGCGTCACAGTGTTTGTTTGGGGGGCAGAAAGGCAAGGGTGGGGTAGGGTGTGGGTGGGAGTGTATCTGGGCTGGAATCTGTTATCTTTGCCCAACCAAACGGAAACAAAATAGGCCGGGTGACAAGTTAGAACCCAAGAGAAGCAAGATTCTGCAGGGACAGGACCTCCCCCACCTTCAGGAAGAGGGTGTGCTGACAGAAGCCTGTAAGTCCTAGCCTGTCTTCTCTCCCAGCACCGGAGGGAATCAGAGCAGAGGACACACTCGTGGGGGGAATGGGTGGTTGTGTAAGACAGCGGTTCTCAACCTCCCTAACACTGCCACCCTTTCATATAGCTCCTTGTGTGGCGGGGACCCCAACCAGAACATTATTTTCATTGCTACTTCATCACTGTCATTTTGCGACTGTTATGAATCGTCATGTAAAATATACACAGGATGTATTTTCAGTGTTACAAATGGAACATCATTAAAGCATAGTGATTCATCACCAAAAAAATGTTATTATATATTGTGAAAAATGTATTTCTAATGACAAATCAATGACCTTTTGTCTTGAAGCATGGTGTAGCATGGGTAACAGTCTTCAGGCCGGGTACTCGTCCATGGGCGTATCTGCATGTGGGCA